TCAGCAGGAACACTGCATTAGGAGGCTGTTTCTGCCGTTTTCAGCTCTAGCTGTGTGTCATCTTAGGCAAATCACATGTCGTCTGTCTGGGCCTGGCTTCCTCATATGTAAAACAATAGGGCTGATCTAACTCTTAGAGCTGCACTGTCCAGTCTATCATGATGAAAGTGGTTTACGTCTGCACTGTTTAGTACGTTAGGCACCTGCCATATCGAGCACTTGAAATATGGCTAGTGTGACTAGGGAACTGAATTTTTCATTTTACTTAATTGTAATTAATTTAACTTTAAAGTGCCAATTGTAGCTAGTGACTATTGTATTGTATAACATAAAAGGTTGATTTAGCTTAAGCACTAACTGATCTGACCCCACCTAGTAATCTTTTAAATTATCCAGTAAATTGTTTTTTTCCCCCATTATGTATTTAAAAACCCAACAAATTCTACAGTTAGTATTGATTTTATTTTGCTCTTAAAAGTTCATGGTTCATTGGTATGATTATAATTTAAATATATTCTTGGTGTGCGCCTGTTTGTTTTGACTGAGATTCCTGGCCCGTAGACCTTTTCGTTCTTCCATGCATGTGACAAATTTAAACTTAACATATTTAGATATTAGGTGAAAAATGTTTAATTTGCATTCTATGTTACACTCTTTTTTTCTTGGAACTTTAGGGGATACTCCATTTTATGCAGATTCACTGGTAGGAACATATAGCAAAATTATGGATCATAAAAACTCACTATGTTTCCCTGAAGATGCAGAAATTTCTAAACATGCGAAGAATCTCATCTGTGCCTTCTTAACAGATAGGTAATATACATTGAATTTCTTTATAGAGAATCCTTTTAACTTCTGGATTTGTAGAAATGAAAGCATACCTAACTCTTATTTACATATAAAATCAATCTTTTTATCCAAATTGCATTTAATTCTGGTTTAGCCTTTTCGTACTGCTAAGCCTGGTGTTGGGTTACCCTTGTCATTTTGTATGTGCAGCCTAATGGTAATCTAACTCTAATCTTAACCCTCATGTCTAAAAAGGAAAAAAACAGAACTTGGTAAAATAATGCATTTGAGAGAAATAAAACTTCTGTATTATTCATATTTTATCCTCTAAGGTGATTTAAGCTGTACTGCTCTTGATCGTACAACTTTTGAGAAGAGAACATTTTTGTGCAGATAAATACTCAAAAGTTAATAATCTTAAAAACTATGTGCTTGATTTGAGAGTGCCTCCTTCCCAACCGTTTTTAATTTGCATTTGAATATGAGCAAGTCCATCCTGGAAATTCTATATTTCTTGAAACAAACTAGATGAACATTGCTGTGAAAACCTGCCTTAAAAAGAGAAGCTAGAAAACTATTTTAAGTTTCTTCCTTGCCCTCTGTATTCTGTTCTTTTCTGGTTTCCCATTTTATATTTGTAATAGGAGTCATCCTATTAAAGGACTAACACATGTAAGTGGGTGCTTCCACCTCAGTCCAGACTTACCTCACTAGCTTTATGATTTTAGGAAAATTATTTTACTTGTTGGGGAAATAATTTTACTCATCCTTAAAATGATGGGATCAGATTAGATGATAACTAAGAACATTTCTTGCCCTAAGATGCTGATTCCTCAGCACACCTTATTATTGCCTGTTAGCCAGTTGCTGTTAGAACCAGTACTGCAGTGACTATCCTTATACATTTATCTTTGCATACGTTTTGTAGGATAAAATCTTAAAGGTGGAATTCTAGGAGATATATTTTAAAATTGACCTACTTGAGTTACAAATTTGACCCCCAGAGAAGTCACATCAGGGTATATTTCCATTATTAATAATTGTTTCCTTCATTCTTGTCAAACTAAGTATTATGAATTACTTCTTTTCCATATAAAGCAAGAAAATTATATTTTTCCTCATTAGACAGCTTAATCATTTTTATATGTTTATCAATCATTTGTACAATAAAACTTTGATTGTTAATTACATGATTAATGAATAATACATGGTGATAAACTCAACATAATGTTTGATTTGAGGACTAGATGGAGTTGATGGGAATGACCATAATTTGTGTTGAAGGGTAAAATATAAAACAGGATACAGCATATGCTAATCAAAGGAGTACCATTCATGAAATATTTGCCTTAGCAATTTATGGGGGGGGGGTGTGGTTGCAGTCTAAGTAATGATTGTAGGTGGAGAAAAGATAGTTTGAAAAGAATTTAATGCCATCAGTGTGGCTAAGAGCACTTCCTTCTAAACTTTACAGGTTTTTTTGTTTATATTAAACATAGCTCCAGGGACATATAAAAAATGTTTTTTATTTCCATATAGTCTTCACTGAAGACTCAACAGGTCAAAAAATGAAATTATTAGTAACATTTTTTTGTATTCAGAATGATAATTTTAATATAAATGTAATATATATTTAACAATTTATATTTAATATAGATGTAGATATATCCAGAGTAAACATGGATAGCTTCAAACATAATATGTGAATTCTTTTTAAGCAAGGAGGAGGATTTTTTAAAATAACGTTTATTAGAAAGGTTTTAAAAAACTCTTCTATGCCAAAAGTTAAATCTCCATCCATTTTACCCCCTAAAGTTGGTCACGTGGTTTTGGCACACACAGATGATTTTTTTCATTGAAAATCTCGTACTTTCATTTGACACAAAACAGCTGGAAACATATTTCCCTTTCCATGGCATTTACTATCTAGAGCAATCATATACTATAAAATTAGATTGCTTATTTTTGAGCAACATTTAAGCTGGAGCTTTTAATAAAGATATCTTAAACTCATTTCTGATCCTTATTTTGATCCTTGTTGAGATAAGAGTTAATATTTTTTTATTTATATAATGTTACTCTTTATAATACAGTTTTTAACTGCATTGTTTAGGGAGGTACGACTTGGAAGAAATGGGGTAGAAGAAATCAAACAACATCCTTTCTTTAAGAATGATCAATGGAATTGGGATAACATAAGAGAGAGTAAGTCAATAAATTTAAATATTTCCATTTCATCACATTTTAAATCTCATAAATTGATTCCTCTTCTGAGTTAATAAGCATGTCTGTACACTTAATGCTAACTAATTTTTAAATTGAGAGGCTTCATTTCAATTTGTTCTGAAGCAGTATTTATAACTAAATTAATATTACCTCAGTATCTTAGCAAACTAATATGTCTTTATTTCCCAGTGCTTTTATGATAAACATAGGTTTCTTAATTTGTCAAGCTAAGTTTTATGGATCTCAGTAATTTTTAGAATTGGGGAAATACAATTCTTTAATTCAGTTGTTTGAATTAATAAATCAGTAATTAGTTACTTATGGAGACCATACTCTGGTGAATACTAGGGTAAGCATAGTAATTCATTTAAACTTCATGTATATTTACATTAATTCATTTGAAGCGTAAGAAATATTTCTACTTAAAGAATGTAGAAAACCGAAGACTAAAGAACCATATATGCAAGTTATTGCTGCTTGTAATTTTAACACCTAGAATAATATCATCCTGCTTTCCTTGTTTGACTGATTTATCTATATTTAAAACCAATCTAATATAATAATAAAACACATAAAATTTCAATTCTTTGAAATGATAAAACAAAATCTGTTACTAAAATATTCTATAGTAAATCATAATAATATAGTATTGTTAATGAATCAAATATCAATATGTAATATGTTAATATTTATATAACATATTATTAATAATATATAATTACTAATATAAAACAAAACAGGGGTCGTTTATATAATTTTAAATCAGATATATTATTATTAAATAACTCGTTTCTTTTCTTTTAATAGCGGCAGCTCCTGTGGTACCTGAACTCAGCAGTGACATAGACAGCAGCAATTTTGATGACATTGAAGATGATAAAGGAGATGTAGAAACCTTCCCAATTCCTAAAGCTTTTGTGGGAAATCAGCTGCCTTTTATAGGATTTACCTACTATAGAGAAAATTTGTATGTGATTTGTTTGTTACATTTTTATTGTTTTCAGCATTTAGCTATAAAGAGTTGTCTTACTTTGAGACTGAATTATAGAAGATAAAGTGTTAATTTGTTTTAAACTGAGTTTTTTCATAGAATATTATATGATATTTATTTACAAATGAATGTAAGGCAATGTTCTGTGTTCTTTGGGGGATGTAGCGTAAGACCAAACACCTGCTTTTGAAGGAGCTTGTCAACTAATAAGAATTATATAGTCATAATGAATTATATAGTCATAATGAAAGGTAGAATGTGGTATTTGCCTTAAGAAACGTACCAAAAAGATATGAGATGGTTCAGAAGAAAAATGAAAGTCACATCTCGTTGGGACGAGGGTAGGGGAAGGTCAGGTAAGACCTCAGGGAAGAGGTAGTATCTTAGCCAAGTCTAAAGTTAAGAAAGGGTTTTGAATGGCTGAGATGTAAGGAGGTTAGGTGAGTATAGTGGGGAGGTGAATAGTGGAAGCAAAAGTTTGGAATGTAAGCATACTTTGGGAGCAGAGTAGTATAGTCCAGTAGGGTTCAAACATAGGGTATATCTATCTATCTATCTATCTATCTATCTATATATATCACTGTATCATGACCATTTGGAGGATTTAATGAAACTGTGATTTTCTTGCCTGTAATCCCTCCATGTAGTGCAGAGCCTGGCACAAGATCATTCAATACATATTGGTCAACTGGAGTGATTATTGGGTATAAAATTAGAAAATAGACTGGAGTTGGAGTTTAGGGGAAGCATATGCAACAGATGATTGTTGTGTGCTGTGCTAAGGGACTTTTGGCTTTGACAGGCAGTAAAGAGCCACTGAAAACTGTTAAGTAGTTGAATGAAGTATTAAAGATGTTTGAGAAACATATATTTGAGAAATATTTGGTATTTCCATGTGTGTAATGGTTGGGGTGATCAACCATTACGGTTTCCCCAGGACTGAGGGGTTTCCTGGGATGTGGTGTGGGACTTCCATGCTAAAACCAGGAAAATCCCAGGCAAACCAGCATGAATTGTCATCCTGCTAAGGACAGTGTTCTGAAAACTACTGTAATGCTGACTAAATTGAGGATATCAGTGCCAGGAGAAACCCAAGCATGTTTATACACAGTGAGGAAGGGCCCAGTTAAGCGAGAAATTAACAGTTAAATAGAAGTGATGATTTGGGTATTAAGACCTGGAGATCAAGAGGCGTTATTTTTGAAAAGGAGGAGAGCTGTCTCTTTCCAGAAGATTTCTAGGAAAGAAGAATAAGATAGTTGCAGGGACTCAAAGTAAGATGAATAGGGAGAGAAATGTAGTGCTATTTAGTGACTCCAGTCTCAACGATGTTAAAGACTAGAACACCTGCTTAAGAGTGAGAGGCAAGAAATATTTATCATTTTAAATGGTTGAAAATGTTGTACATCTCTAGAGGGGAAAATACTACTTCATTTTAAATATGTTGAAGTGAAAAGAACGAGAATCTGTGGTTGGAATTTAATTCTGAGAATAACTTGGTATTAGAAAATGAGTTAAAATGACACGCAAAAGAATTTATTTCCTGCCCTTCTTTCTAGGTTATTAAGTGACTCTCCATCTTGTAAAGAAAATGATTCGATACAATCAAGGAAAAACGAAGTATGTGTAAATTTTTACTACTCTACACGTGTTCAAATATTTTAGTAACATCCCTGTATTTTTAAAGTTCATTTGATGCTACTTTTAGATGGCATTCCTTCTTGCAATCCAGTTCAGCATAACATTGAAGTGATTCACTTATTTGACAAGTATCACTGTGTGAGATCCAATGGCTAGTGAAAAGATGGCTTGTACATGGCTTTAGGCTTAGTTTTAGTAGCCAAAGTGATAGAATAGGTTTACAAACAGCTGTATTTTCTACCAGTTAGAAAATTTTATGATCTTAGCACTATAAAAGAGTACAGATAATAAGCTATAAGAATATAGAAATAGTAGATAATTTAAATTTTGACTGTTTAGCAATGAATTCATATAAAGGATAATTTAATCAAAATGTTACAATATTTTGTGACCTCTATACAAAGCTAAATCATGAACACACATACACATAAATGAGGATGCTAAACATTTTTCTCTTCAAAACCCAAAAAAATTAGGTAATTTTGGTATGATTTGTGTTTTAGGAATTTTACAAAGCATAACAAGCATTTTAATGTTTTTGTTTTGTTTTAAATAGGAGAGTCAAGAGGTATGTTGATGTCAAATATGTTGAAAAACAGGAAAATCTCATCACTCTAGCGATGTTTTGTTATAATCACATTCCACCTAGCATTTGGAGTACTACACCTACCCAAGAGAGAAGTTCTCAACCTTTTTTCTACCAAGTATTCTTTTTATTATTGCTCCTATGGATCTGTTGTTTAAAATATATATTATGTAATTTTCTTGTTTTTATTTGTTAAGGATATATAAGTAGCAGCAAGAACTTTTGATTGGCATGTGATAACTAGTGTGATCGAATTATACTAATATAGTAGCAGCCAAAAGCTGTTAAACTTGACTAGTTCATTGGCCTGTATTTTCTTACTAGGGAAGTATACAGTTTTGCTTAAGGTATATGAAATATTTAAGAAATCATGGAGAACCTACTCACTAGAAAGAATAGTGGAAAGAACATTGGCCATGGAATCTAATAGATCAGGGTCTTTTGGGCACTGCCACTTATTAGCTATGCTGTCTTGGCCCAGCTGTTCACCTTTTTTGGATTTCAGCTTCTTTATTGACTAGATATAATACTACCCATCTTTTTAGGGGTTTTGTTAGGATTAATGAGACAATATCTGTAAAGTGCCTGCCACTGTACCTAAAACACAAAAGGAACTTGAAAAGTTAAATCCTTTATAAAGGCAGTAAGGCTCCCAAAATGCAATATTTAATGCTTTCTGTAATTTTAGTTTGTTTAAAGCCCGACATATCTGGCCTTATAGCAAGATGACTTGTAATTAATTAGTTGTCATTTATCCAAAAGAGTTATTGTTGACAACTTTTCATAGTATTTTGCCTGGCACAGTGTAGGAAGATATAAAGAAGAGCTTTTATATATCTTTTTTTTGAGGGAAAATTGGTATGTAACATTACATAAGTTTCAGGTATACAACATTATGATTCTCCTGTATTCATTGCAAAGTGATCATTATCAAAAGTCTAGTAATCATCCATCACCATACACTTGACCCCATTCACTCATTTCATCCAGCCCTAACCACCTTTTCCTCTGGTAATGACCAGTCTGTTCCCTGTCTTTGAGTTTGTCTTTGTTTTATTTTCTTTCCTTTTCTGTGTGTGTGTGTGTCTGTTTCCGCATATGGTTTTTGTCTTTCACTTTCTGACTTATTTCTAATACCCTCAAGGTTCATCCATGTTGCAAATGGCAAGATTTCACTTTTTTTTTTTTATGGCTGAGTAGTAGTTTCCACTGTGTATAATATACCACATCTTCTTTATTCATTCATCCACCAGTGGATATTCAGGTTGTTTCCATAACTTGGGTGCATATATCGTTTTGAATTAGTGTTTTCATATTCTTCAGATAAATACTCAGAAGTGGAATAGCTGGACTGTATGTTAGTTCTATCCTTATCTTTTGAAGAATCTCCATACTGTTCTCCGTAGTGGCTGTACCAATTTACATCCCCACCAACACTGCACCAGGGTTCCCTTTTCTCCACATGCTCTCCAATATTTGTTATTTTTGTCTTTTTGATGATAGCCAACCTGACAGGTGTGAGGTGATATCTCATTATGGTTTTCATTTGCATTTCCCTAATAATTAGTCATGTTGAACATCTTTTCATAGGTCTCTTGGCTATCTGCATGTCTTCTTTGGAAAAATGGGAAGAGCTTTTATTATTTTTAAGAAAAGTAATATATTTTTGAACGTGTTCTGTCAAATATTCCAAATATTTGTTTCAGATGTAGACCTTTTATCTTTATAATCACAAATGGTGACAGTATTTTCGAATAAATAATCTACAAAAGAATGATGGAGGATATCAAAGGATATCCTTTGTTCATAATGAATGAGAAACTTGGTGTCATAGAAGAATTCTGCCAAGATCAGAGCTTTTTATTCTTATGTTTACATAGTGTGTTCATACATAACATGTGTACTGTAATAGAAAGCAAGAGATGGGGGATTTTTTCTCTCTGTCAATAAAAATCACATTAAGAATGTACAAAAACCGTACCTATATTAAGTTGAAAGAAAAGAGATTATCATTGTTTTCTTTAAGCCTCTCACCTTTTAAATATGATCAGACTTTATAAAATTTCTTATTTTCTGACAGATTCAGAAAAAACTATACACATTAGAAGAACACCTTAGCAGTGAGATACAAGCCAAAGAGGAACTAGAGCAGAAGTGCAGGTATGTTTTGTAGATAATTGTTATATTTTAAAATGTAAGTTTAAACATTTTACTAAAAAAGAAGAGCTAAAAAGTAATTATATGATAATTTTATAATTTATGGTAAATGTCTTTATTGTAAACTAGGAGAGAATTATTTACTGTTGCCTTTGAAATTCTTTAGATCTGTTAATACTCGCCTAGAGAAAGTAGCAAAGGAGCTAGAAGAAGAGGTAAAGTCTCTCTGTGCTTTTATTAACATTTTTGTTCATAAAAAGTTTTGATGCCTGACTTATCTACAGAGTTCTTTTAGTACCATATTAATACATATCTTGTTATATAGTAAAATCTACCTTGTAGTATTGGTGGACAGGACTCTCAGATTATAGGGTAACCATGATAATAGGCTTCATTTTGTTATGTTTTTGAAAATGAGTTAATTTAGTATGTGTAGATATTTCAAGTAAAAAGAAAACTGCACTCATATTACTTACATGGCTTAAAAGCAAATTGGCAATTGTTTCTTTTTTTATTCAGACCCATAGTTTGTATTAAGTAAAGATGGTTCAGTGGTGATGGAATGTTACAGAAATTTTGACTTTCAATAGTAAACAAAACACTTATGGTCCTGATTATTTAAGAATAGTGTGCTATTTAAAAAATATGGAAAACATTGTAGTTTTAACAAAAGGGCAGTTAATAGCTTTTTTAAAGGTCTTTTTTATTTGCTTGATGTAACTGAAATATTTTTTGTTTTCGTTTGATTTTTATACATACTTTCCTTTGATAATAACTTCAAGCATTATTTCAGATTACCTTAAGGAAAAATGTGGAATCAGCATTAAGACAATTAGAAAGAGAAAAGGCGCTTCTTCAGCACAAAAATGCAGAATATCAGCGGAAAGCTGATCAAGAAGCAGACAAGAAGCGAAATTTGGAGAATGATGGTTTGTGGTGCAGAATATTAAATACTAAGAGAAATGTTTGTGTGTGTGTGTTGTGTTGAAGCTACCGCTAAAATGCTTTTTATCACAGTTAACAGTTTAAAAGATCAACTTGAAGATTTGAAAAAAAGAAATCAGAACTCTCAGATGTCCACTGAGAAAGTGAATCAACTCCAGAGACAAGTAGGTTGATCCCAATTTATAAGGATATTGAATCTTATTTATGACTATCTGTTAACATTTGTTTTAATTGGCAGTGTTACGAAAAGGAAATCATTAGGAAAATATTTTTAGGTTTTTGTTTATTTTAAATAGTAATAATTGAAGGTATTTTCATCATATATACCTGTGTTTATTTGTTTGTTGTTTGTTTGGTTTTGAATGGAATAACAGCTGGATGAAACCAATGCTTTGCTGCGAACAGAATCTGATACTGCAGCCCGGTTAAGGAAAACCCAGGCAGAAAGTTCAAAACAGATTCAACAGCTGGAATCTAACAATAGAGATCTGCAAGATAAAAATTGCCTCCTGGAGACTGCCAAGTTAAAACTTGAAAAGGAATTTATCAATCTTCAGTCAGTTCTAGAATCTGAAAGGAGGGACCGAACCCATGGATCAGAGATTATTAATGACTTACAAGGTATTAAAGTAGATATTCTATTGAGTTCATCTTAATGATTTGTGTTTTGGAAATAACCTTAGATGATGGATAATGTGCTAGAATAGTACACGTCTGAATATAATACTCTTATGTAAGGTTAGCATATTAGAAATACATTGTTACAAAATTTTATGGATGAAAGATTTACTTTCAAGTAGTATGAAGTATTTTTAGTAACAAACCACTTGTAAAGGTGGTAGATTGGATTCCAGTCGAATTAACTCTAAAGCACTACACCAACAATTATAAAAGTTCTGCTAATAACAACTTTAAAGAATGAGGTGAATTCCAAATTTTTTACTCTAAGTTTAATATGTATACTATATGAGTTTATTGTTTTTAAAAATGTTTCAATTTTAGGTAGAATATCTGGCCTAGAAGAAGATTTAAAGAATGGCAAAATCTTATTAGCAAAAGTAGAGATTGAGAAGAGACAACTACAGGAGAGATTTACTGATTTGGAAAAGGTAAAACATGTTAAGTTTTACGTTTGTGTAAGTAAATGACTAAGACAGTTTCGGGTTGAAAAACTTATTTTAAAATAAGGAAAATTAGGAACTGAAATATTTCCAACACTCATGTACTTTCTTATATTCACACTTGGTTATGTAGATTAGGGATGTGTATTTTAAGGCATACCATAACACTGTACAAGCAACCCTTAGATGTTAGATTCTTATGAAGGGAGTCTCTTGGGGTGTATGATGAGGATGCTTTTTCCTGGGCATCCAAGGAAAATGCAAATTTTGACTTACAATATATCTTTTTTTAAAAAAAATAAATTTATTTATCTTATTTATTTATTTTTGGCTGCATTGGGTCTTTATTGCTGCATGTGGGGGGCTACTCTTCGTTGTGGTGAGCGGGCTTCTCATTGCGGTGGCTTTTCTTGTTGTGAAGCACAGGCTCTAGGCATGCTTGCTTCAGTAGTCGTGGCTCATGGGCTCTAGAGCGCAGGCTAAGTAGTTGTGGCTCGTGGGCTTAGTTGCTCTGCGGCATGTGGGATCTTCCTAGACCAGGGATCGAACCTGTGTCCCCTGCATTGGCAGGTGGATTCTTAACCACTGCGCCACCAGGGAAGCCCATCTTACAATATGTCTTTAAAATGACATAAAGTTATTGTGACTTTTCATTTAGAAATTTACCAAAAAGTACTATAAACCAGGGATAATTTTTAGGCTCTGTGCAGTTAATATTTTATTTTCATTCACTTAAGTATTTAATGTATCATATGTGGTAGAAATATCAGGATGCAGTTCTTCCCCTTAACAGTCTCACAGTCTAATGGGTAATTTGTAAAGTAATAATAAAGTACACAGATAATTCTAATGCAGTGTGGTAAGTAGAATGATAGAGGTATGGGCAGGGTATATTGGGTGCACAGAATGAATCCCTAATCTGACAGGGCAGGAATGGTTGACAGGGTAAAGTTGGGGAGGACAGCATGGGCATAAGGCACAGAGGATAGAAAATAAAAAAGTCATAGTCAGTTTATTTAAATGCAAATGATTCAGTATTTCTGGAGTAAAGAGCAGGGGTCAACAAATTTTAATCTTTTAAGGGAAAGACAGTAAATACTTTAGACTTTGCAGGCCATATGGTCTCTGCTGCAGTAAAGGGAATGGGCATGGCTATGATCTAATGAAGTTTTACAAAACTAGACTTCAGGCTAAAACTGGCCTGAAGACCTAATGTTAAAGTGTGATGAATTCACTGGCCTGAGTGAGGCTACAGAGCCAGGCATGAGCCAGGCCATGCAAGATGTTGAATACTCTATTAACAACACTTAGTTGCTGTAAGTAATGGACTAGTCACTGAAGTGGATGATTTTATTAGAGGAACATTTAAGATAGATCATTATGTACCATGTGGAAACTAGGTTTGAGGAGGACACGATGACGTAGGTAGATTAGTCAGAGGCTTTTTCAGTAACCTAGATAATGGAGATTTAACTAGTACAGTAGTTTGTTCAAAGGATGGAAAATAAGGATGAATCTGAGAAATATTTGGAGGAGGAATATTTGGGAACACTTAGTGATTGATTAGATATGGCGTGTGAATAGTACTCAAGAACGAGTTCTGGGTTCCTAGTTTGTGACGAAATCTATAGTGGTACCATTAATTAATAAAGAATAAAGGAAAAATAACTGTTTTAGAGGAGACAGTGATAAATCCATTTTAGTCCTAAGTTGAGGTGCCTGTGAGACAGCCAAATTAGGATGTCTACAAAGAGGTAAGCTATGGTAGTAGCAGCTAGAAATATTTGAGAGTCATCGATATAGAAGTAACTCAAGCCATGTGACTGGAAGAGCCCATCTGCAAAGAGATTGCTTAGAGCATTGGTTTTTCAGAGCAGAGTGAATTAGTCTGTTGGTGGATTGTGTAGTTTGAAAAAAATCATTTTTATTCTTGAAAAACAAAAGAAATACCTATATTTACGATATAAATTGTAGAAAACAAAGAATTAGAAAATCTTTTGAGGATATATCGAAAATAGACTGACTTCTATTAAAGATTCTCAACTTAAAACAAGTCTCCTAGGTGGAAAATAAGGGTGAATAGTAGAGGATCCTGAGATTTCTTTTTTTTTTTTTTTTTTTTTTTTTTTAGAATATAGCAAGGGAAACATTAGGTATGTTTTAAAAGTTTGAGAAGTAATAATATAGGAAGAGGAGAAGCATTATGGCTAAAGAACACTACTCCAGAGAACACCCAACATTTAAGGGGCAGCTGGGAGAAAACTTCACATGCAACAGAAAAGATGAGAGCAGGATGGGGAGAGCCAAGTGAGTTCAGTGTCAGGTATGTCAAGGAAATAGTTTCAAGGGCAACAGTGAGTTCGAATGAAATAAAGACTATAAATGTCTGTTGAATTTGATACTGAGATATCATTTGTCACTTTATTGAGCTCAAGCAATCTCAATGAAGATCTCAAAACAGTAGAGTGGAGATGTGGGAGATGGGTACAGAGGGAAGTGAACAGGTAGAGTGCACAGATTACTTTTACAAGAAGTTTGAAGATCAGAGGGAACATGTTGAACATTATTAGTAAGCCTGTAAAAAAAAGACTCTACGTTTTTGAAATTGCAAGCCAGTCTTTTTTGTTGATAGCTGCCATCTAAAATCTTTAATAGGAGAAGAACAACATGGAAATAGATATGACCTACCAACTAAAAGTTATACAGCAGAGCCTAGAACAAGAAGAGGCTGAACATAAGGCTACAAAAGCACGGCTGGCAGATAAAAATAAGATTTATGAATCCATTGAAGAAGCTAAATCAGAAGCCATGAAAGGTACGCATTTTCATAAGAGGGTTTTCAGGAGCATTTTACGGAATTGATTCTGTATTCAACTCTGATTTTGAAAAATATTTTAAAAAGTATTAGGAAAGCTTTACATATATGTTTTTCCTTGAAGGCAGCATCCATTTCTAAGGTAGTAAGCCCCCGACACAGAATTACTCAACCGAATTTCTAGATCAGAGAGAAATTAATAGTTCAGTGCTATCAACAGTGACAGGCATACAGAGTGCGAAGCTCACGATACATCTATTCAGATTTGGGGGATATGCTCTTTTTATAATATTTAGTTTGACATTTCACCAGCTTGTGTTACGAAAGTCTTGCGAGTTTTTAAAATGAGTACATTTGTTTATAGATTATTCTCTGAAGTGTTGAAAATAAACCAATTTAGCATATTTTAATTTAGCATTTTTTAAAATTCCTTTTTACAGCTGTAACATAAGGTACAAACGACTTTCATATTTTGTATGAATACACAAAACTTAAATTTTATAGATGGTACATCTGGTGTAAAGCCTTTGGTCTTTTCCAATGCATGTCATTGCATTGCATTCTTTGTTTAAGAATATGGCTTAGCAATGAATTACTAGTTATGTGACTTTCTCTAGTTACTTATTCTTTTTGTGCCCTGTTTCCTGTAAAGGGACAATTACTGTATTAGGTTGTTGTGAAAAACAAGTATAATGATACCTGAAAAGTGCTTAGAAAATGCTAGCTATTTTTAGTAGTATGTGAAAAATGGTTTCATTTTTCTACACTTTTGAAGACAGTTCATTAAAAACTGAAAATTCATAAGGTTTAATTTTTACCCAGTATAACTCTGTAATAAATGATAATTAGAGGTTGAACATTAGGTATGAAGGAGCAGAAGAATCTATTGAATTTGAACAGATTTTCTAATCAGTAATCCTTTACATGTAATAACTTGCAGTTACTATGAAATCACTTGATTAGACATAAACTTTGTCTGCTCTTCACTTTGAGACTGAAAAAACGTCTTTAGAAGTCTTTTCTGATTAATAAAACAAATTAAAAGTTTGTTGCAAATCATTTAGAAAATATAGGAAAATAAAAAGTAAAGATTAACCAGAATGCTACTAAATCAGGATGATATTTTCTCAATTTTCTCTACTGTTTTGTTTTTTTTCCTTTTAAAAAATATTGTGAACATTTTCTTAGGTCATTGAAAATTCTCCTGTGTGAGCACTTATCAAGTGCTTGCCATGTGCCAGGCAGCATTTAAGTACTACACATATGCTAATGCAAAATCTTTGCAAAATCCCTATGGGTGTAGGTGCTATTGTCACCATTCTAGACATAAGGAAACTGAGCCTCAGAGAGGTTAATTAAGTTGGCTAGTCAAGTAATTAGGAAGTGTCAGAACCAGGATTTAAACTCAGGAAGTTTGGTTCTAGAGTCCTGTCCTCTGCCAACTCCCTAAAACATAATTTTCATCTTCTGCATAGTAATATGCTACTATAGAAAGAGCCATTGAGGTCATAGGATCTACCTCTATAATGATTAGGATCTTGCTTAATGTTTTTAGGCAAGAAGAGTAACACTGAGAAGCACAGAGTAGCCGAAAAATGAATCTTTATTTAAAAAGATGTACATGTCTTTTAGAAACATAAGTAAAGGCAGAATTATTTTGCTTTCATTAAAATGGATGTAATATTGTGGAATGTGGTAGAATTTTATACCCTGCAAACGAAACACCTAATTTTCAAGCATGAAATTGTTGACATTTCAATTATATTAAGAGGAGAGATGAAAATATTAAATTGGAAATTTAAAAAATTATTAAGGCAGCATCATTTAACTGTTAATTTTTATTAGCACTGTGTCATGTATTTGATATGCTTCTTTTGTTTGATTCATGATTATGTCCATTTTTATGGCAATAGAAATGGAGAAAAAGCTCTTGGAGGAAAGAACTTTAAAACAGAAAGTAGAGAACTTGTTGCTGGAGGCTGAGAAAAGATGCTCTATATTAGACTGTGACCTCAAACAGTCACAGCAGAAAATAAACGAACTCCTCAAACAGAAAGATGTGCTAAATGAGGATGTAAGTGTGAAGTTTACTAATAAATAATAGTAAACGATTTAATGAATTAATAGTAAACTAGGTTTATTTATAAAGGTTCAGTGATGGTTTTATAATTTAAAATTTTTTCTTGTAAAATAATATTCCATAATCTTTCAATTTTACTGAATTTGGATGATATACTAAATGAATCATGATTAAAACTTTTTTAAAGACCACGTTTTATTTTAAAAATATGTCATTATGGAAAATCCAAGAAATATTTTATTTTGAAGTGAATTAACTGTTTAAGGGGAAAAATCTGTTTTACATCATCATATTTACTGCCAGCTTCATTGATAAGAAAGTCAAAATAATTTACTTACATACCAATAACAATATTTTTTAGGTTAGAAACTTGACATTAAAAATAGAGCAGGAAACTCAGAAGCGCTGCCTTACACAAAATGACTTGAAGATGCAAACACAGCAAGTTAACACACTAAAAATGTCAGAAAAGCAGTTGAAACAAGAGAATAATCATCTCCTAGAAATGAAAATGAGCTTGGAAAAACAGAATGCTGAACTTCGAAAGTAAGTTAATTGTTTGAGACAAAATTTATTAATATGCACAACTATCCACATGTAAATTATCTTAATTTTGATTTATCTGGGGATTTTCTTTTGACCCTTTTGTTTTCTTGACCGCATTTTCTCTTTCTTTCTGTTTTAAGTAATGTGTTAAGTGCCACTGTTGTCCTTCAAAAAGATTTTATTTGCTTCCCTGACAGTTTTTTACTACTGCCACCTTATGATATAATATATAGAGTGTTGGTGTTGAAGAAGAAGAAAATGTCTGGGATTTGTACTCCATGCTCTTAGGATTTTTCCTCAGGACTGTCCCTCAAGCCTAAGTGCTTTTTGTTTGTTTCTTTAGTTTCTGGGACTTGGAAATGTTTGACTGTTAAGCAAACACCATATAATTTTTAAATCAGTTTTTAGGATACACTCTAGTGCTATATTTAATTTACTTAGAAAATAGAAAACATTGGTAAAATACTTTTAAAGTATACAGTAATATACTGTTAAAATTTACCCCATTCAGTCATTAGTAGTATAATTAGTTCTTCCCAATCATGACCAAAGGTCATATTGGATTCCAGTTATTTGGTAGGAGGCAGAGTGAAAAGAAAATAAGCTTTGGAGCCAGACAGATCAAGGTGTGAATCCCATTTCCACTACTTACTAGCTGATCAACTTTGGGCAAAATATTTTAACCTCTCTGAACCTTTTGTCACACCTACAGAAGGGGCAGTAATAGCTTCCTTGTTAGGGATCTTGTAAAGCAGGGGTCCCCAACCCCCAGGCCACGGACTGGTACCGGTCCGCAGCCTGTTAGGAACCGGGCCGCACAGCAGGAGGTGAGCGGCAGGAGCGAGTGAGCGAAGCTTCGTCTGCCGCTGCCCATCGCCCCCCATCGCCCCCCATCGCTCCCCATCGCCCCCCATCGCTGGCATTGCCGCCTGAACCATCCCCCCACCCCACCCTGGTCCGTGGAAAAATCGTCTTCCACGAAACCAGTTCCTGGTAAAGGTTGGGGACCACTGTTGTAAAGGATAACAATGACTTATTTACAGCATCTAGCACACAGTAAATGGTAGGGACCATTATTACTACAACTGTTACTGTTACTATTACTAGTATGTCTACTATAGGACTATTACTTTGTTCCTATCACTTTTGCTAATTGCCTGCTTTTTACATACCTGTGACAGGTCAGCAAGATTGACACTACTTAGGAAAGGATGGTCAAATATTCAAATGTTGACACTTCCTAGGAAAGGATGGTCAAAAAGAGTTTGTTCTTTTTGCTGATCTGTTGCCTGGGTAAACCTAGATTCTTAAACTTCATGAGATTTTAACTTTTAAAAATTGGAAATAGAAACTTGAACAGTATTCAGGCATCTTTGTCCAATATTTTTTTGTTCTTTGTTGTTTCCTCTGTGTGTTAGCTTTATTCTTCCCTCTCATTTTTTTATTTAACAGAAAACTTGGTCCTTCAAGAAGGACAAACTCTAGAGATGTGTCTTATAGCTTCATTTATATGGAGCGACCCTGATTTGGCTTTTCTGGATCTCTAAGTCCTGAGATGGAACTCATTTGCCTGGCTTTGGTCAAGAGCCTAAACTGTGGATCCTCAGTTCTAGGGAACACAGTCTTTAAAACTATTTGACTGCACAGCTGTTCTCCATAGTATTTATTCTAACAGCAATGTTTATATGAATACAAAGGCTAGTTAAATATGTAGATTGTGTTTCTTCTCCTGTTCTAATTACTCTTTGTTTATACCTAATTTATGATACTTAGTATATATGCCTATTATTTTCTTCATAAGTGCACTTGGATCTATTGTTTCTTAATCCCTCAGTTCCTAACCCCTCCTGGCCAAAGATACCCACATCTGCTGTCTTAATCACCTAACAGAGTATAAATTCATTGAATGGCAAAGAAAAACCTACTTATATTTTGCTATCTCCAACCCTTGATTAATTTCTTGCACATAAGACATCGTCAGTAAGTATTGCATGAATGAATGCATATCTATCATGTGTAAGGCACTGATAACCACTATGGGAGATTCAAAGATGAGTCAGATGTATTTCCTACCCTTAAGCTTACTAGCATTTTATCAGAAGTTATTCCTTGGGAAGAGGTAAGGCAAGTACATAAATAATTGGAATACAAAGTTAAATACATACATATATATATATATATATATATATATATATATATATATATATGCAATGAGAATTTAATATGAAGTGCTCTGTAGGCTTGCACTTGAAAATGGCCAACATAGACTTCTTTTCTTCTTTCCAAGATTCCAGTAAAACTCTAGTAGAGGAATTTTTTAAATGTGTAAACCCACATCATGTCATTCCAGTGGATTGGAGGACAGGAAATTACTTTAGTTAATGAGATAGTAGCAGGTGGGTGGAAACCTTCTGCCTAATGAAGTACAGCAGCAGAAGCAACAGCCAGGAGTATATATGAAGTGGGAAATAGGTGAAGAAGAAAAATGTTTCATTATTCAAAGCAAATACCTTGGAGGGCTGGAGTAAGATGTGATGTTATAAATGGAGCAATCTGCTGGTCATACTCTGCCACTACCCCTTGCAGAAATGTCTGTAGTCAGGCATTGCCACCACTAGGGTTCCTACAGAGCGTTCCCGCTGAAGAAATGGGGCATACCCTCTGTGGATAATTACAACAGCTAGTATGGGGTCAGCAGCTCAGAGAAAAGCCTTTCTCATTCTGGCATTTAGTGGTCTTCCTGTTTATGACTGACTTCCTAAGCCTCTCATTTTAAACTGAAGTTTGCTATTTAGAAAACCCCTCCCCTGTACCCAGAGATTAAAATTTCTGATGCCTCCTGGTTACTCATCACTAGGCATTTGAGGAAAGCCTGAGGTTGGGGAGAGGCTAGGGATGGTAAGAGCTAAATTCTCACATCTGGCAGCAGGGAATTGGTAAATAATTAAAATGTATGTCAAGAAATAAGCTGAGATGTGGTGGTAACCACCAAAAGAACAATACATAGAACTGAAACAAAGTGATTTTCTCTAGGGGAATAGGATTAGCCCATGGATGGATATGGATAGGAGACTTAGAATTTTTTCTGTGCTAGTCTGTACTATCTAATTGTAACCATGTGCATATTATGTGGTTACTTTCTGAAAAATATTTTTTCTTAAATACCTAATGAATGTTGAGCTTTAAAAGTTACATATAATGAATGGTAGCTCTTCAAGAAGCTCATGATATTAAAATTACACTGGGGTTTGCTGCACGCGGGCTTAGCTGGTGATGATGATTTAAAATTTTTAAAACTTGTTCTTTCATATGTTATTAATTAGTATCTTTCACATTTTCCGCTCAGAGAAATAAAAATCATGATTCTTTAATAATACACTCATCAATAATAAAATAGAGAATTTATACAATTAAGTGACATTGAGTGATAATTTCCTTTTTATCCAGAAGTTGAAGGGCCAAGTAAGTAAACAAAGTGACCAAATTATATTAAATGCAAATAAGGATGAAAGTCCTAAGTAGTATTAAATTGAAGATGGTGTGATTAAATCATTTAATCTCTCTGAGTTTTTTCTTGCTATCTACATTTTTATTTTATTTTATTTTTTTGGCCCTGCAGCATGTGGGATCTGAGTTCCCCAACCAGGGATCAAACCCATGTCTCCTGCAGTGGGAGCGTGGAGTCTTAACCACTGGACCGCCAGGGAAGTCCAGCTGTATACATTTTTTAAATATCTAAGTGGTAGTAAAATATTTTCTCACTATAAAATATTCAGAACTATATTAAAAGATAAAGAGAAAACAATATAAAGTCTCCTTTATGAATGCAGACATAGTTAATCTCTACAGAGGTAATATATCTTAACAGTCTGTTATTTGAAAAATCCTTCCAAACCCTTTTCTGTGCCTGTACCTGTACATGTATACCATATTTATAGGGTTGAGTTTTTTGTAGATTTTATTTTGTGTTTTTTGTTTTTTTAATTGTATCATATGTTGTGTTGTTCTCCAACTTTATTTGTTTCCCCTTAGCTTTGACTTGGAATAACTGTAATATATATATTTTGTTAATAAGCCTAGACTTTAACTTATTTCAACCCAACCTCTTAAATGCATTGTTAGGCTCATTTTTAATTTTATTTATTTTTTATTTAAGTTTTTTCTTTATTGAAGATTAAAATATGTACAGAAAAAGTAAACAAATGGTAAGTGTAGAACTCAGTAATTTTTACAAAGTGTTCAAATCTGTGCAGTTACCATTTACATTTAGATATAAAAACCCATACTCTTTACCTCCTTGCAGGCCCCCTCCCAGTCATTTCTTCACTCACTCTAAGATAATCAATTTTCAGGTGCTCTTTTAATTCTGCTACTTGGTTGGCATAAATGGCTGATGACAAATGCATGCCTGAGAATATGTAATTTAGTGTTATTGGTTTAATATAGCACTGTTTGGTCTCAGAATCCCTTTATACTCTTAAAAATTATTGAGGACCCCAAAGAGTTATTGTTCATGTGAGTTATATCTAAAGTTATTTTTTGTGTTAGAATTGAAACTGAGAAAATTTTAAAACACAAGAGCATACAAGCACACATTTCATTAGCTGTTGGAGTGATGAAATCATCATATGTCATACAGCCTCGAGAAAAGCCCATATACACTGAGATAATTAAAGCTTTAAGAATAGCAATGATTCTTAGTATTATGAAAATAATTTTACCTCATGAATTCTCTGAAAGGGTCTCAGTACTCCCACGGGTTTCCTAGACCACATTTTAAGAGTTGCTGGCATAATATGTGTCTAACTTATTTAAACCTTTGATTCAATGTCCCCACAGAGAACGTCAAGATGCAGATGGGCAAATGAAAGAGCTCCAAGATCAGCTGGAGGCAGAGCAGTATTTCTCAGTAAGTTCCAGATGTGTTACTTTGAAAATTGTTGTATTTGTAGAATTTTTAAAAATTTTTTGCTGCAAAACCAGGAGACTGATCTTGTCTTTAGAATAGATTCTTATAGCAAACCCCAGACAGAATTTTGTATGAATGTTTTGTACCACCCACATACAAAAGGAACACCTGGGCAAGAGACTGTAGATAGTTTAACAGAAATCCATTGTCATTGCTAAAAACATGGTTCTAAGCACATACTCATACCCTATGAAGTTGATTAATAAAAGCATTGATTTTTGAGGAAGAATATATTTTCGTAATGAAAGAAAGAAAATTGTCATTTTAACATTTGTACTTTTTTGAGATCAGTTTTAAAATATGAAGTAGTAACTGTCACCTCTGTTTCACTGATTTTAAGCCAACAAAATTTTCTTGTCTAAATTAGTAATTTTTTTTTTGCCTCTTCATCCTATCAATCTGTGTCATTTAATGAGAAATCTCACTGTGATATCCAGTTGAAAATCACGCTTCTAAGTTATTAGCGGAATTTTTATTAGTTAATTGGTTGATTACCAGAAAATAGAAAAGCTCTTTAAACTATTAATTTGCTCATGGGCTCAACATTACTGTTTTATGAGCATATTTGTATGTGCTCAACTGGACTTCTTGTCTGGATAGCTTTTGAATATAGAAATAATATTCCTGATGATGATGATGATGATGATGACACATATTTCTATTATATTTTGCTATTTAGACTCTCTATAAAACACAGGTTAGGGAACTTAAAGAAGAATGTGAAGAAAAGACCAAACTTTGTAAAGAATTACAGCAGAAGAAACAGGAATTACAGGATGAAAGGTAAGGATAAGATCCTTGTCTCTTTTGTTCATAGCCATGAACCCTACTCCTAGAACAGTGCCTGCTATACTCCAAATAAAAATTTGTTGATGAAGTGAATTAGACAAAAGTTTGACTTTGTAGTAAAAAATTGAACATAAAATTTTATCCCTCTAAAATGTAGGGACTCCTTGGCTGCTCAACTGGAGATTACCTTAACCAAAGCAGATTCTGAGCAACTGGCTCGCTCAATTGCTGAAGAACAATATTCTGATTTGGAAAAAGAGAAAATCATGAAAGAGCTGGAGATCAAAGAGATGATGGCTAGACACAAACAGGAACTCACTGAAAAAGATGCTACAATTGCGTCTGTAAGTAAAATGCTTGGTTCTTTTTTGGTTCTAATTAAATTACTGTATCATAAATCTTCCTTAGAAATACTAAGAAAGTAACATAGATCTAAAATGAAAAAGTGTATGTGCTGTGGCTACGAGATAGTTGACCTAGTGAACCATCAGCTTCTCAGTGTTCGGCAGAGAAGAGGCTCAAAAGAAAACTACTTCCAATGGCTTCAGCTGTTGGTAAATTCAGAGTTAAAGGACTAAAGTGAAAGGCAAATACCAAAAAGAAAACAGTTTTTTTTTTTCCTTGTTAAACCAGGCTTAGTTTAAAAGAACCTTAAAACTAATCATGAAGTTTAATCATGAAGATAGTCATATGTAGGTTGAAAAAATTGCAAGAAAAATTTCAAATAGAAGTAAAATATCAAGTAGTTGAGTTTGCCTTATCAATTATCCAGACCTATTAAAATGCTACAGTAATTTAAAAGTTTGGCACTAGAACAGGGATATTTAATCCTGTTCAGTGGAAATGAGTAGGGGGGCCAGAAATAGATTCATCATACACATGCAGGAGCTTGGCATACGGTATCAGTGGCAGTATACAAATCAATGGGAAAGGATACAGATTTAATAAATGGTTTTGGAATAACTATATTTTTATGTGGAAAGGAATAAAATTAGTTTCTTCTTATCATTTACCATATACAGTGGTAAATTCTAGCTATCTTAAGAACTTTAAATATGAAAAATAATAATTTTTAAATATTAGAATGGAATCCAAAATTTATTTATACCAGAAGATAGCAAATAAATGACAGGGAAAAGATATTTGTAATGTATTTATTGAACAAGGGATTAGTATCTAGAATATAAGTGGAACTCTTACAATTCAATACAAAAAAGTTAAATAATCCAAAGGAAAAATTGGCCAAAAGAGAAAACCTAAAAATATGAGCAGACGTTTACTCATATAATCCAAAGAAAGTCCATAATAAGATAAATGTGCTAGAGGAATTCGGACACAATACTCCTAGCAGCATAAATGTTTGTAATAGCAAAAATTTCAAATGTTATATTAATAGATGAATGAATGGATAAATGAAATGTGGTAGAAGATAGAACTACTATATCAGTTAAAATGAATTAATTAGGTCTTTATATATATCAACAATTTAAATCTTAATATAATGTTGAGTGAAAGCAATTACAGAAAGATAAATGCAGTATGATGCTATTTATGGACAGTTTAAAATCACATAAAACCGCATTATATTATTTCACGTATATGTAATAAAAGTATACAATCATGGTTGGGAAGGATGAACATATAATTCACAATAAAATATCCTTCAGGAAGGAAGAAGAGGAATATGATTTGAAGTGAATACCAAAGAATGTCAGCTTCTTTAGTAAAATTTTGTTTTCTGTTTTAAAGCAATGTTTGGTAAGAAATTAAATTATGGTTTTAAAATTTATTCTGCATGATGGAATGCAGAGCTTTGTTATAGTATTTGCTTTTTTTAGTTTACTAAATTGTTTTTCATTTAAAATACTGCTAAGGATTTTTGAAAGAGGGCAATTTTTTGGCTTCCTGGGTTGCATATGAAGTTGGTGTGGTTAGCAAAATTTTCATCAAGGGTGAAGTTTGGTAAGGTAGGACAAAGGCAAGAAGTGTAGAGATAGATGTACTTAGAAAAACAAGAGTTTTAGCAACATTCTAGGATATTTTCATTTTGAAGTACTGCTTTAACACTTAACGTTTTGTAAATTAGGATATGATTTTTGTTCTACTTTCATTTCTTAGCTCGAAGAAACTAATAGGACACTGACTAGTGATGTTGCCAATCTTGCAAATGAGAAAGAAGAATTAAATAACAAATGGAAAGATGCCCAAGAGCGTATGTACTAATAAGAATAACGTTTATTTTCAGTGTGCCTAATGCTTGTCAGTTGCTGAATTATCAGTATAATTTTTACATTTTTCTGTTTCAGAACTTTCACGGTTGAAGGATGAAGAGATAAGTGCTGCAGCTATTAAAGCACAGTTTGAGAAGCAACTGTTAACAGAGAGAACACTCAAAACTCAAGTGTGTATAATATGCTCTAAATATGATTTTGAAATTTTTCTTAGTTTACCTTTTTTACATTTTACTTCTAACATTACAGATTGGCTGTAGCAGTCATTGCTTGTATCAGTATTTGTGAACAGTCAGGATTATGTGATTTTTACCAGGTTGGGAGAAGCTAGATTTGATTAACATTGTTGAGTTCAGTGTTTATTAAAGTTTTTCTTAATTTTTCCATATGGAATCACAATCCATCCTAATTTTTTATTGTAATCTGATAAATTTTTCTGCTTTTAAGAAACGGTAGAGAGGGCTTCCCTGGTGGCGCAGTGGTTGAGAGTCCGCCTGCCGATGCAGGGGACACGGGTTCGTGCCCCGGTCCGGGGGGATCCCACATGCCGCGGAGCGGCTGGGCCCGTGAGCCATGGCCGCTGAGCCTGTGCGTCCGGAGCCTGTGCTCCGCAGCGGGAGAGGCCACAAGAGTGAGAGGCCCGCGTACTGCAAAAAAAAAAAAAAAAAAGAAACGGTAGAGAATGACCATTTGCTGACAGCCTAAAAAGGGTCACTCTGAAAAGACACCGTGATTATTAACTATTCTTTTCTCAGCTCTCATGATTGTATATACAGCATGAATACTTGTGGGGTCCAAGATGCTCTGCTCTGTGGCTGGACACATGTTGTATTTTATTAGTGTGATGCCAGTGCAAAACTCTCTTCTAGGATAAAAGAAGATCTGCCTCGTAAAAGTCTCTCTTGGAACTAAAAACCCAAAGTGGTAGAAGGTGACATTAGAATGAACCTATAAACATTTAAAATTATAGTTCTCAGAAAATACGAGAGTGAAAAAGTAATAGAGTATTGGTTGGAAAAGGATGACGAGTAATGAAGAGGGTGTATTTTTAAATACAGAAAGTGTTTCTTTGTGGCCCTGTCTGTAGGGAAGGTTTTGTAACTTGCTGTTGGTGAATGACCAAGAAATCATCAACATAATTTATTTTATTTATTTACATACTTATCTTTATGTTTTTAAGGCTGTGAATAAGTTGGCCGAGATCATGAATCGGAAAGAACCTGTCAAGCGTGGTAGTGACACAGATGTGCGGAGGAAAGAAAAGGAGAATAGAAAGCTACATATGGAGCTTAAATCTGAACGTGAAAAACTGACTCAGCAGATGATCAAGTATCAGAAAGAACTGAATGAAATGCAGGCTGTAAGAATACTTTTTGAAGACTTCTTTTTAAGAAGTAGAATTATTTTCATGTCTATATATTTTATAGCTTATGGAGCATTTCTATTAATAATACAGTAGTCACCCCTTATGCAAGGGAGATATGTTCCAGGACCCCCAGTGGGTACCTGAAACCACAGATAGTACTGAACTCTATACGTATTATATTTTTTGCTATACTATAAGGGGGTGGGTAGCATATACAGTGTGAATAAGCTGGACAAAGGGATGATTAACATCCCAGGCAAGCAGAGCCAAGCAATGTGAGATTTCATCACACTACTCAGAAATGGCATGTAATTTAAAATTTATGAATTGTTTATTTCCGGAATTTTCCATTTAATATTTTCAGACTGCAGTTGACCTTGGATAACTGAAACCACAGAAAGTGAAACCTTGGACTAGGAGAGACTACTGTATTATTGAACTAGGAAGCAAAATTATAAGATGTATAACATCCAGTTAATTTAACATAATTTAATTTCTTGTAGCAAATAGCTGAAGAGAGTCAGATTCGAATTGAACTACAGATGACACTGGACAGTAAAGACAGTGACATTGAGCAGTTGCGGTCCCAGCTCCAGGCCTTGCATATTGGTCTGGATAGTTCCAGTATAGGCAGTGGACCAGGGGATGCTGAAGCAGATGATGGGTTTCCAGGTACAGATTTGTTTCCAGTCCTTATGTTTACTTTTGTCTTAAATTAAATCAATTGATTGTTTTAAGACATTGACTGACTTTGCTCTTGAGGAAAAATATTTGTCATTTCTTTAAGGGAAAACCTACTCCTTAGAGTGGAGGTTCCAATGACAATTTAAATTATTTTATTTATTTATTTTTCACAAACTTTTTTATTAAAAAATACAAATGTAAATTTCACATATTTAGTTATTTAAATTAACTCTTTATATATTGTACATAGCTCTCTTTTAAAGCTTTCATTTTATTTTTTCTTAACTTCTTTCTGCATTCTTACTTCCTTTTATGTTGGGTGTTCAGTTCATATCACTCAGTCACACACTATGGAATCCATGTCATTCACCTACCAACGTTCCTCTACTTCTCTCAATATTGCCACTAAGCCTTCCAGTTCTCATATGCTTCTTGACTCTGATTCTGACTCAGAAGAAGAATCTGTGCCTTACTTACCTATTTCATCGGAACCTAATGGTACAGGTGATATCCTGAAAGTCTTTCGCCTCTCGGTTTTTTTCCCACTACCCATAATTTTAGTCCTTTTGAAAAATTGTTGTAACATTAACTAATATTCACTAACTCTAACAAGTTGCTCAGTTAACAAGTCTCAGTTAAAAAGAAACTGCTGCATGAACAAAGAATTTGTTTTTTAAAGTATTTTCACATGGCATTGCTATTACAATTGATAGATTTATTTTTTCAGTTTACAAGAAATGGAGCAGTACTTTATATCATTTAAGAACATACGGTTTCACTGTCTGTTTCTTCCATTTTTAACCAAGAAGAAATTCTTTCTGAAGTTTCATATCAAGAATGACAGTACAGAAAAAGCACGTGTAGACTGTTTTAGAGGATGTGTTTAGGTTTTCCTTGCGTCAACATTGTGCTGGGCCTTAAAAAAAGCATAAGACAATTTGACCTGATCCTTGTGCTGAAAAGATTTATAGTTTAAGTGAAGAAACCAGATGGAAAACCCATAAACTGTTATGTTTAACACAAAGTTAGTGTGAGTACAAAAAACGTTTAGAGTAAATGCCACAGGAAAGTAGTGTATAAGCAGTTGAATGTAAAGTAAAATTTAATCTATTAGTTGAATTCAAAGTAAACTAGCTATATTTATTTACATTGTTGTCACATTTCCCAGGTATATATCAGTATAAATCATAGGTGATTATACTGAAGTTGTTTCAGATCTTAGCAATAAAATGATTTCAGTCTTAACCATATTGTTAGAGGTCATCTGATTAGTCCCTTGAACTGGCATAGGACCATGTCCAGACAGTTGAGAATATGGCTGTTTATAATGACAGCATTTCTGTTCATGGAGTCTGGAAGGTTACTGATGTGAGAGAGAGAGTATAAGCCTTGGAATCAGAGACGTGTCCCAGTGTGACCTTCTGTGGGGTTGTTGTGAGGGTTAAAGAAGATTTATGTAAAGTGTCTATAGCACAGTTCAGACACATAGTAGGTGTTAAGTGATAGGCGCTTTTATTATTAGCATAACCTCCAAAAATGCTTATTTCACTTAATTATTTCACTAAAATAACAAACTAATCAAATACCATTAGAACAAATTCTAAGGGTTCAAAGAGTTTCCTTGGTTGAACTAGAACCTTATTGATTTTAATATTTTGGAATTTAGGAATCTTTTGGTTTATTGCTGCTTATTAGCCATATTTGATCTGTAATTTACACAATTTTATTTCATTTTATTATAGCCATTCTAAAAGTCCATTTTCTCTGAACATGTAATTACTCACTTAAAATGTTTTCTCTTCAAAGAAGATGTGCACTATACCTGTAATTAGGCCTTCTTCCGAAGGAAAAATAGAGGATTCTAATACAGGTGTACTGGTGAGAATAGAGAGCTGCTTTTCTTTTTTGCAACTTTTCTGCGGAACTTTGCAAATGCATGAATTTAATTAACAGGGCATTTGACATTATAAACTACAGGATATGTATGTCCAGTGTGATATAACCTGGATTTTGTTTTGCATTGTATAACTTGCTTATACTGATCCTGCATTATTATTATATTTTAGATGATGTATAATGACAAATTCTGAATGGCATATTTGATTTGTGACTTTCATATTAAAAGTTTATTAAATTCCTCATTTTCTTAAGAGACTTGTTATATTTATTCTCATATCTTGTGCTTATTTATAGAATCAAGACTAGAAGGATGGCTTTCATTGCCTGTGCGAAACAACACTAAGAAGTTTGGATGGGTTAAAAAGGTATTTGAAAATGGTTCTTTTGTTTTGCTTTTAGTTTAGCTACAGCCATTTCACTTTTGTAGTTGTAAGATATATATAACTAGAACTTTTAGACACATAAAACTTGTTTGCACTTTCTGATTTGGAATAATATAATTTTATGTATCTTATGTACGTAAGATACTTTATGTAGTGATGAAAAAAAACCTTTTCATCACTACCATGTTGTTAATAATAAAATAGTATTTGGTGTCAGGAAAATAGAAGCCTGTTGACCTTGGTGCTTTTGTTGTTTCAGTGGGAAAACAACTCTGGATATGACAGAAAGTCCCATTTGTTTCTTTTCCTCTGGTACTATGATTATCGATATTATGTTCATTTTTGATAACTGTCTTATTAGCCTTAGGCTGCTATAAAAAAATGCCACAGACTGAGTAGCTTGTCAACAACAGAAATTAATTTCTCATGGTTCTGAAGGCTGGAAGTTCAGATCAAGGTGCCAGCCAGCATGGCTGGGTTCTGGTGAAGGTCCTCTTCCAGGCTACAGACTTCTTGCTCTGTCCTCATGGTGGAAGGTGTAGGAATTTCTCTGGAACCCCTTTTATAACAGCACTAATCCCATTCATGAGGGCTCTGGTGTCATGACCTAATCAACTTCCAAAGACCCCTCTTCCTAATACCATCCCATTAGGTGTTAGGATTTAACATATGAATTTGGGGGAATATAAACATCCAAACCATAGCAATAAGGTTATTTATGCTATTGGATCTTGAAGCGAAATCAGTCCAAAAAATATTTGAATTTATTCCCCCCTGTCCCCCCAATTTGCTTGTTTAAAGTATATACAAACAAATTTATTGTTATTTTGAGGAAGACTTTTCTAAGGATACATTAAGATAACTTTTTAGGTATTTAATTTATATTTTCTATGATTTTTATTGCTAATTTAGAATTTATTTTCAAAGAAAAATAAATAAGATATATTAACTTTAATCATTAATTCCTTTCCTGTTTCTTTTTAACAGTATGTGATTGTGAGCAGTAAGAAGATCCTTTTCTATGACAGTGAACAGGATAAAGAACAATCTAATCCTTACATGGTTTTAGATATAGAGTAAGTATTTTTATTAGAATATTTAGGAACTTTATCTTTTAAAGTTTAAGAGTAACGTGACCTTTTCGTCAAGTTAGTGTAATTTATTAGTCATATAGTACAATGTATATAGTCATATAGTATAGCTGCTAGCATACTGTTGTTACATTTTCTTATTTTGCTTCATACAGATGAGTCTGGGGTATAGAGTTGGCTAAAACATCTTTATTTCATGGGTCTTTAATATGTTGTTTTCTGAAACTAATGAGAAAATTTCTGACTTACTGGAAATTTCTCAAAATGCAAGGAGTGATTGAATTTATAGAGCAGGATATTCTCTGACCTTCTAACAAGGGTCAAAGTAGTCAGTTTTAATTTCTGACATAAGTATAGGATAACTAAAATAATTTGATCCTTTGGTAATACTTTACTCCTTTATTAAAAATCTTTTATAGTAAGTTATTTCATGTCCGACCAGTTACACAGACAGATGTATATAGAGCAGATGCTAAAGAAATTCCAAGGATATTCCAGGTAAACCATTTTATTTTGTGGTTTGTTTGTTTTGTTTTTTCACCTTTATACATTCTTAGCATGACATGACATAACCAATTTCTTTATTCTTGGGGCTTTTTCAGATTATCTTTCAATTTTAGTCCCATTTAAAGGTGGTTTGTTCCTTTGTGACTTTCATGCTTATGCTATTTAGATACATCTTAATTCTTCTCTCCATTTTACTTGTTAAACTCTGTAGTGTGTTTATATCACATTTCCAGCCTTTGCTATATCCTTTTGTTCAAGGTTGGTTATGATATTTTTTGAGCATGAATGTTATCCTGTTTTTAGTTTTATGCTCAGCTCTCTAGAAAGTTAAAAAAGTTGCTTGTGAAGTTAAATTTTGCCCCCAGGAGCCCTTTTACTTCCAATTTAAGGTGAAGACAAATTCTCCCCTTTATTACTTCCATTTTAAAATTAGTCAAACCAACAATTACTGAGTTCCTTCTGTGTAAAAGCCGTTGTGCTTGGTGTACTGTGGGAAAGTTAGCTGCTTACTTTCTGAATGCTTAGAATGTTTATTTGGAGCATATTATACATCCTTTCCTCTTTTCCTTTCTTCCTCAACTCTCCAAATACAAATCTTTTCAATTAAAGCTATATTTGCAGTTATCACCAAGTTGTCTATTTTGAGAATCACAGAGCCTCAGTTCATATAATTGCCACATCTCTTCAGGTGTTTTGAACATTCCCTCCCAGAAAAACTTTCTAACACTAATCAAGTGCAGATTTACCTTTTGCTAGCCTATTCTGATAAAATTGCTGAAACATAGGAAGATGACATGGAGAAAATAAGGAGGCATCATTTGAACAGTATTGATTATTTTGAAATGTGAACCAAGGTGACTGGCTACTGACTTTTCTCATCTGAGCTCTTGATTTGAACCTACTAACATTAGAACATCAAATGCATTCTCTTCTCATTGAATAGTTTAGGCTAATTTTATTTACAAACTATAAGAATCATTATTACATAAAAAATAACCTATGTTTGAAGATCATTCATTGTTCTTTTTGGTGTTTATAGATCCTGTATGCCAATGAAGGGGAAAGTAAGAAGGAACAAGAATTTCCAGTGGAGCCGGTGGGAGAAAAATCAAATTATATTTGCCACAAGGGACATGAATTTATTCCTACTCTGTATCATTTCCCAACCAATTGTGAGGCATGTATGAAGCCATTGTGGCATATGTTTAAACCTCCTCCTGCTTTAGAGTGCCGTCGCTGTCACATTAAATGTCATAAAGATCACATGGATAAAAAGGAGGAAATTATAGCACCTTGCAAAGGTAAATAGTAAATTACTTGCTCCATCAATATTATTTATGTTCAGATCATTTTAAACATATTAATCTTTTTCAAATATTTCTTTATAGTGTATTATGATATTTCATCGGCAAAGAATCTGTTGTTATTAGCAAATTCTACAGAAGAGCAGCAGAAGTGGGTTAGTCGGTTAGTGAAAAAGATACCTAAAAAGCCTCCAGCTCCAGACCCTTTTGCACGGTCATCTCCTAGAACTTCAATGAAGATACAACAAAACCAGTCTATTAGGCGGCCAAGTCGACAGCTTGCCCCAAACAAACCAAGGTAATAAATTAAAATGTGGTAAAACTTAAAGTGTTTAAAAAAATATTTTGCTGTTTATACTCAAATTACAAACTTTCCTAATTGCAGTTTTTCTTTGGTATTTTCATGATCTATGGAATACCAAATGTTTGAAACTGTTTCATTGTGCATGTGTCATTCATTTATTCAGCTGGATGTAATAAATTTACTTACTAAATCACACATATATTAAATTCAACCAAAAATAATATGAAGGGCTCATTTTTGTCATATTTATTGGTTTGGCCAAAAAGTTCATTCGGGTTTTCCCATAAGAACGAACTTTTTTGGCCAACCCAATACATAATCACAATATTTTAGGATTTTATAAGCACATTGACTTAATTTATTGATTTAGTAGACAGGATACACAGACCTTTAAGTGTCAGGCACACACATTGTTTTTATTATTGCAAACCTCTTAAACCTCTTATGTTAGAGACTTGTTGGGGCAGGACTGAAATCTTAAATCTTAATTCAAATCTATAAGTTTAAAATAATAACTTGTCTCAGATTTAAAGAGTAATACAGATCAGCCTTAAAAATGCAAATATTAACTAATGAATATAGTGGGCATTTTTTATAATTGAGGTGGAGTTGGGAATATGGAGTAATGATAGAGATTATTATTGCACAAAAACATTTTGATGGAGCCATTTTCATATAGCTGCATTATAGTAATTTTTGATTCAGAATAACCATTTCTTGACTTACTAGCTAATGCAGTTATTTATAAATAAATACTGCTATCCATTGAAATGAACATTTGGTTAGCTAAAAGATAAAGTATATATTTAGATCATGTATCTGATTTCAAGTGTCCTTTTTCTTCCCTAACACAGGACCTTCAGTATATGAATAATGATGTGCATTGGCTGTATTATGAGAAATATTTTCATTCTAGCCACAACATCGTGTATGAAACTGTTCTTGAAACTAATATCTCAAGGAAATAATTTAGAATGATAAAGGTAGAATTAGTGTTTCAGCAGTGAAAATGTTGAACTTCTGTGTGAGGTGTGATGAAACTAAATACTCTAGAATTAGCGATTATAGTATAGTAATTGACCTGAAGAAACTCAAAGAATTCAGAGACACTGAAGGTCATTCCATGTACCCTGTACAAAACATCTAAAAATTAAATTTATATTACTAATATTGTAGAACCATTAATGCATAAATGCCAGGCTATTTTAATACCTGACAATATATAGTGCTTCATAGCTTCCAATGTGCTTCCATATGTTGGGTTTTTCCGTAAGATGTTATGGGAGAACCCGAACGAACTTTTTGGCCAACCCAATATATTCTCTCTTAACTTTCTATATATTCTTTCATTTGATCTTTAAAATACTCATGGAGTAGAATAGGTATTACTCTTTTTCTTTTTGAGACTCTAGAAAGGAAGATAATTTGTTAGATTCAAGACTATAAGAGCTATAGTTTTTTTAGTATATTTTATTCTTTTGTGCTGTTTGACAAGTTAATGATTTCACTACATGTGTTAAGACAGTTTAGGAAGCAGTTTTCAGACCAAGTGAGGCATGTTTTCAATTACATAAGTTTTGATACTTGCTGACTTATAATTTTCTTGCCCCCCAGTTCAGCATTATGATTTATTTGAAAGCACATTTACTTTTGATTTTTGTTACTTTTTTTTTAGTTCTGGCCCTGCCCTTCGAATCATTCTTCACTGATTTTTTTTAATACATTTTGCATAGCAACAGTAAGTAATAGGGATTTCTTTCTCTCACAACTATGCATGTAGATAAAACTAATACCAAAACTGACTGTAAAATGTACAGGGATTTTTTTTGGAGTTTTAAAATCTAATACGCTCTTTAAAATTGTAAATGTAAAGATGGGCAAATTTAAAATACAGTTTTGCATTTTATTATGCCTCTGCAACATTGTTTCCATTGCTTTTAACATCTGTGCCTCCATTGCTTCATTAACTCACAAAATTGTATCTGTGCCTGTCCTTAGGTGAATAACCCTACATTTTGCATTCCATTTTGGGTGTCACATTTTACGAGTAGCATACACAAATTGGAAGGTATACAGAAGAGAATTACTGAGGGAGTAGTGGGTCATTTGAAGGTGTTACATACACATGTAGCAAGTGAAGGAACTAAGGATATTTTAGTCTTCTGAGGAAGTGTTTTGAAAGGATGGGAGATCATAAATAACAATAAAGATTTAAAGGATTTTTCCTTGGAAGAACTAAGCAGAGAGGCATATTTTTCAGTCAGCTGGGAAGAACTATCAAGCAGTCAGATTTGCAAAATTGAAAGAATTGGCTTTGCTGTAGAATAGTGAGTGCCCTGTCGCCACAGGTGTGCACCTGATTTAGATGACTGCTTGGCAGAACTGTGAGGGAGCAGCGCTCCTTGATCTGTCCTGTGTATGCAGTCTGATGTCGCGTAGCATGGCTCTTGGGGAGTCAAGCATTGGACTGGATGGTCTGCAATACCCTACTAATTTATAACTTATTCCTGTGGAAGAATGGGTAGAGCTTTAAATGATTATCTAAGAAAACCTAGGAACAGAATTTCTGGTGTGTATCACCAGTAATTTAATATCTAGCTCTTCATTTGTGTTTATTTAATATTAGTCTTAGCACTAGTCAGTCTAGCTTTAGTTGAACTAACTCACATGCTGTCTTTCTTAAAACAAATGTTTGGCTTCATTAGACATCATCAAATATATATATTTCTATACACACTAAAACATAGTATCCATAAATATTCATCTAATCTTTTTTTTTTATTCCTTTGTTAACAACTGCATCATTATATTTTTTTCCTTTGGCTTCTGTGACGTTCTTTGTTCTGATTCTCCTTTTACCTCTCTTTGCAGCACTTCCCTTTTTCTGTAGTGAAGTGCTTTAAAGTAATAAGTGTTAGCTACTATTATATAAAATAACACAATTTTATTATATAAAATAATTTTCGAGGGCATATTATAATATGCTAGGCACTCTTCTCAGAGCTTTAACTGTACTAATTCATCCTCATAACCACCCTGTGATTTAGCTATTTATCTCTGTATTTTACAGATGAGGAAACTAAGGCACAGAAACATTGTTTGCCCAAGGTCACACAGCTAATAAGTAGCAGAGCCATGAGTTTAGGTCCAGATAGTCTAGTTCCAGATCCTGCATTCTCAACTGTAATTCTTCACTGCCTCACAGTGATTCAAGTAGACTTGAATTAATTGACATTTTATAAAGCAATGTATAGAAATGCTATTCTAGAAGAATATTTCCTCGGTAATTTTGAATTAAAAATACTATGCTGGAAAAGTAAGAAATTTGTGAATAAAATGCCGACTTTTGATGAAGACAGTTTGGAGAGATCCTAATTTGTTCCAGTGCAAGACACAAAATACTGGTCCCTGCTGAGGGCATTTCTCTTTAATTATCTTTTTCTTTAAAGATTTTTTTAAAATTATTTAAGCCACGTAGAAAAGTATAAAGCAAAAATGCAACCAATAGTAGTTTATTCAGTTTTAAGAAATAAAGCATTGCCAATACAGTTAAAACTTAAGGGTGGGGGGAGTTATTATTTTATCATTATCTCATCTCTGTTTTTTCCAGTTCTAAATATTAGAACATTAATAGACTAATTGTTATATACAACTTGAAGTGTCAAAAATAAACCCATAAATGAAGTAGAAGAAAATAGGGGAATATGTATCTGATCTTGGGCTAGAGAATAACTTCCTAATAATAAAAGCAAAGAAAGAGAAAAAGATTGACTAACCAAAACTTAAAGCCTTGTAGGTTTAAAAACACCACATATTTTACAATACATCTGCGAAAGATGGGTTAGTATCTTTGTGCATGGAGTACTTATATAAGTCATTTAGAAAAAGGGAGTTGACTCTTCCCAATATAAAAATTAGTGAGGAACATATAGACATTACCATGAATATGAAAAAGTGATCAACCTGATTACTAAGCAAAGAAATTAAAATTAAAATTATATTGTAAAAATATTCTCACCTGCCAAAGTGGTAAGGATTAAGAAGCTTAGTATTGGTGAGATGTAAAGAAACAAGCCCAATCATGTGCTGCTAAGTAGAACTCAAAACTAAATGCTAATAGAACTCAAAACTAAATGCTCGTAGAACTGAAAACTAAACCCCTTCTGAAGCAGTCTTTGGCAATAAGTTTTACAGGCCTGAAGTGTATACCCATTGATCAGTTAATGGAGGAGCATAGACAATCAATCAGATAATTACAGTACTGTTCAACATGCTGTTTATTATGGAGACATGAGCAAGTGTTATGGGAGAACAAAGGAAAGCATAGAGAATTCTGCCATTAAAACATCAAGAACGGTCTCAAAAAAATGGCGGATCAGTAATTTCCCAGGCAAAGAAATAAGGTAAAAGACAGCCTTAGGCAAAATGTTATGTGTAGAGGCACTAGTTGTCAGAATTACCTATGTGTTTGTAATGTTGTCTTGGGTTAGGGTGGGGAGAGGGTAATAACGGGAGGCGGTAGAAGGTGACACTGGAGAGAAAGCTCTGAGCCAGATTGAAAAGGACCATGTTCACTATGCTATAGGAGTTTTGATTTTGTTCTGATAGAAGGCTTTCAACAAGAGATTAGTATGATTTGACTTAATGAGATGCTGAACTAAAGTATTGACAGTGAAAATGGAGAGAAGAAACCAGGTTAAAGAAAGATTCCTTTTTTGTGTGTGCGTGGGGGAACTATAATGCTTTTATTACCAGAATGTATGAAACATGGATCCTTGTATAATTCTGCAATACAGCCTCAGATGCCCATAGTTTCAAAACAACTTGTCTTTTAAATTTCCGTAACATCCATTTAGAGTAAATGATTTTGTTGCTGTTCACAGTAGAAGACAGTCTTTAGCTTTGATGGTTCAGACCTAATTAAACAGAAATGGCTAACTTTGGGCCTAAGATAATAAATGTGGTAGAGAGAGAAGAGCACAGAACCCTACCAA